CCCCCCCTCCCCACCACTCTCTACGGCAAGGGCGCGCAGCCGCAAGACTGCAGTCTCAAGAGCCTCCCCTCCCGTTTTTTGTTTCTCTCTCTCTCTCTCTCTCTATCTCTCCTCCTGGGGCCCGCCCCCGCACCCCCAGGCAGCCGCCTTGAGCTGTCAGTGACAGAGGTGCGCGTGGAGGTAAAACCTCGGGGGCGCTTCCCATCGCCGGAGGGTCCCTCGAGGTGCAACGTTAGAGGGGGACCAGGCCAGGGTGGGACCATCAACCTGGCATCGGCGATACATCGCAGATAGTTTTGGCCGTGGGCCCCGATAGCGAAACCACACGTCACTCGGAAGGGTGGGACACCCAGGACCCTGTCGGCGATCAATGAGCGACTGGGGTCGATGCATTTCCCCCTGGCCACGGCCGACTCCGCCTCGAACTTCTGCTCGGGTGTGAACCCCTTGGGGAGGTCCAAGGGCTGGCTTGGAGGCTGGAAACCCAGAAACGTCCGGAGAATCGACCAACGATCGCCAGGATTTGTTGTGCGAATGTCGGCGTCCAGAGGCCGCTGCCTGGCCCTGGGGGGCCGACACAAAGAGACCACAAATGGCACGCCAGCCTCTGGCAAGATATCGAGAGATCCACGAAGCCCGGCGACTCGAACAGAAGCTAGTCAACAGGGCCTGTGGTACACAACAGCACCAATCCTGCCCGTCCAGGCCAATCATGTACCAAGCATCGCTGCATACGCCCTCCTGGCCGGGCCTGCGACTCCGACGCTGAGCCAAGGATTAGCCTGGCCATACCTGGCGCGTCGGTGTATACGTGGCATCCTCCTCCTCCGACTCCTCCCTCCTCCCTCCTACCTCCTCCCTTATCCGTAATGTTCCCCTATCAGTGCTTGCACTGAGGGCTCGGCCCGTCGCTGCGGGCCACTCTGGCCACCATGTGGCCGCCGTCGCCGCACCGCAGTGCTTTGCACTGCGTTGCATTGATTTGCATTATGTTGCGTTGGCTCGCATTGGCTTGCATTGCTCTGCATTGGTGGGATGCGCATTGGTTTGCATCGGTGTGCATGCAGTTGCTTTTGCCTGCACTGCGTTGCGCAGGGCTGCAGTGATTTGCATTGGCCTGCACTGCTTTGCATCGCGGTGCATTGCCTTGCATTGCTTTGCATTGCTTTGCACTGCGTTGCGCCACATAGATTGCACCACTTTGGCTGCACCACCTAGATTGCACAACAATGATTGCACCACGTTGATTGCACCTCATAGATTACAAGAAACCCCTGCTTGGGATCCACGATGGCAAATATATATACAGATGTTATATATGCAATTATATGTGCGCGTGTACATTATGCATCAAGAATGTATACACGCGCACACTGTGTCACCTAGGCCCTAGGCGGCCGATCGCAACCCCATCCAGGACGTGCCATCCGACCTGCAGAAACACTCACAAGATCAACATGTTTCCTCTCAGCATGGACGTTCTTCCGCTGCTGCGTCCCAATATGAACATTCGGCGGCGCGCACAAGGGGGTAGGCGGAGCGGGGAAGGCTTCTTAAAAGGAGGCTGCTTCGCAGAAGGCGCGGGGCCTTACACCTGCGAAGCAGGCCCGCCGCTTCTAAGAGACAGGGGTGCTTCTAAGAAGCCTTCCCCCCTCCCCCACCCCCGCCCTGTGCGCGTGGCCGAAGCATGCTCCCGCTCCACGTGGGCATCCTGCGGAGGCCGAGACAAGATCGGGGCGGCCCGCTCGAATCTGGGGCCCCAGGGGCCGCCAGAGGCCAACCTCGGTGCCCCCGCCACCGCCACGGCTGGCTCTGCATCGAGCGATTCGCAAGGAAAGGACCCCGGTTCCCCCTCGGCATCGACCCATTTCAGGTTCCAGAATCACCGTGGAACGGCTCCGGGGTGAAAATTGAAACCTGAAACTGGTGATTTTCCATCTGGGCGCTCTCAGGAGAATTGTGGGTGCCTCTCGGGGATGGGAGGGAAAGACGTGTACCTGAGCCCCCAAAATGGCAATTCTCCAAAAAGAAATGTCTTATTGGAGAGCTTGCTTTTCGCGGCTGGGCCCTCCCGCTCAGCGTCGGGAGGTCCCAAATGAATTTTCACCCCGGAACCGTTCCAGGGTGAAAATCCGTCTGGAACACTCTCCCAACGCAGAACGGCGCTGTCCGAGACGGGGGAAGTGTGCCCGAGCCCCCAAAATGGCAATTTTCCAAATGAAATTTCTTGTTGGAAAGCTGTTTTTTCGCGGCTGGGCTCTCCCGCTCAGCGTCAGGAGGTCGCAAATTGATTTTCACTCCGAAACCGTGAAAATCCATCTGGAACCCTCGCCCAGCGCAAAACATCGCTGTCGGGGATGGGGGGGAGTGTACCCGAGCTCCCAAAATGGCAATTTGCCAAACGAAAATTCTTGTTGGGGGGCTTGTTTTTCGCGACAGGGCCCCTTCGCTGTGCGACAGGAGGTCCCCCATGGATTTTCACCCTGGAACCGTTCCAGAGTGAAAATCCATCTGGAAGCCTCTCCCAGCGCAAAACGGCGCTGTCGGGGACGGGGGGAGGGAGTGTACCCGAGCCCCCAAAATAGAAATGTTCCAAATGAAATATCTTATTGGCAAGCTTCTTTTTCGCGGCTGGCCCCCCCCGCTCAGCGTCGGAAGGTCCCACATGATTTTTTCCCCGGAACCGTTCCAGCGTGAAAATCCATCTGGAACCCTCTCCCTCGACGCAAAACGGCCCTCTGGGGGATGGGGGGGTGCACCCGAGCCCCCAAAATGAGCTGGGCCCCCCCGCTCAGCGTCGGGAGGTCCCAAATGGATTTTCACCCCGGAACCGCTTCAGGGTGAAAATCCATCTGGAACCCTCTCCCGGCGCAAACAGCGCTGTCGGGGATGGAGCGCACCTGAGCCCGCAAAATGGCAATTTCCCAAATGAACTTCCATATTGGGGAGCTTGTTTTTCGCGGCTAGGCCCTCCCGCTCATCGTCGGGAGGTCCCAGATGGATGCTCACCCCAGAACGGTTCCGGGGTGAAATCCATCTGGAACCCTCCCTCAACGCAAGACGGCTCTCTCGGGGATGGGGGGAGGAACTGCACCCGAGCTCCTACAATGAGCAATTTCCAAATGAAATTTCTTATTGGGGAGCTTGTTTTTCGCGGCTGGCCCTCTGGCTCAGCGTCGGGAGGTCCCAAATGAATTTTCACCCCGGAGCCGTTCCAGGGTGACAATCCATCTGGAAACCCCCTCCCAGCGCTCTATGAGGGATGGGGGGTACCCGAGCCCCCAAAATGGCAAGTTTCCAATTGAAATTTCTGACTGGGGAGCTTGAACCCTCTCCATCTGGAACCCTCTCCCAATGCAAAACAGCTCTCTCGGGGATGGAGAGGGGGAGTACCCGAGCTCGCAAAATGGCAATTTTCCAAATAAAATTTCTTTTTGGGGAATTTGTTTTCGCGGCTGGGCTCTCCCGCTCAGCGTCGGGAGGTCCCAAATGGATTTTCACCCCGGAACCGTTCCAGGGTGAAAATCCGTCTGGAACCCCTCCCTCAGCGCAAAACGGCTCTCTCGGGGACGGGGGGAAGTGTACGCGAGCTCCCCAAATGGCAATTTCCAAATGAAATGTCTTACTGGGGAGCTTGTTTGTCGCGGCTGGGCCCTCCCGCTCAGCGTCGGGAGGTCCCAAATGGATTTTCACCCCGGAACCGTTCCAGGGTGAAAATCCATCTGGAACCCTTTCCCAGCGCAAGACGACGCTGTCGGGGATGGGGGGTGTACCCGAGCCCCCCAGATTATAATGTTCCAAATGAAAGTTCGTGTTAGGGAGTTTGTTTTTCCCGGCTGGGCCCTCCGGCTCAGCGTCGGGAAGTACCAGATGGATTTTCACCCCGGAACCGTTCCAGGGTGAAGATCCATGTGGAACCCCTCCCTCAGCGCAAAACGGCTCTCTCGGGGATGAGGGGAAGTGTACGCGAGCTCCCCAAATGGCAATTTCCAAATGAAATGTCTCATTAAGGAGCTTGTTTGTCGCGGCTGGGCCCTCCCGCTCAGCGTCGGGAGGTCCCAAATGGATTTTCACCCCGGAACCGTTCCAGGGTGAAAATCCATCTGGAACCCTTTCCCAGCGCAAGACGACGCTGTCGGGGATGGGGGGTGTACCCGAGCACCCCAAATTATAATGCTGCAAATGAAATTTCGCGGCTGGGCCCTCCCGCTCAGCGTCGGGAAGTACCAGATGAATTTTCACCCCGGAACCGTTCCAGGGTGAAAATCCGTCTGGAACCCTTTTCCCAACGCAAAACCGCGCTGTCGGGGATGGGGTGAGGAGGTGTACTCGAGCTCCCAAACTCGTCATTTTCCAAATGAATGTTCTTATTGGGGAGCTTGTTTTTCGCGGCTGGGCCCTCCCGCTCAGCGTCGGAAGTCCCAAATTGATTTTCACCCCGGAACCGTTCCAGGGTGAAAATCCATATGGAACCCTCTCCCAGTGCAAAACGGCTCTCTGGGGGATGGGGGGAAGTGCACCCGAGCTCCCAAAATGGTAATTTTACACATGAAATGTCTTATTGGTGAGCCTTTTTCTCGCGGCTGCAAGGAGCTCAAAAAGGCCTTCTGTGAGGAGCCCAGTAAGGCCTTCTGTAAGGAGCTGTATAAGGCCTGCTGCAAGGAGCTCAATAAGGCCTTCTGTAAGGAGCATAGTAAGGCCTTCTGTGACGAGCCCAATAAGGCTTTCTGTAAGGAGCTCAATACGGCCTTCTGTAAGGAGCCCAAGAAGGCCTTCTGCCAGGAGCCGAGTAAGGCCTTCTGTCAAGGGGCTCAATAAGGCCTTCTGCAAGAGCCCAATAAGGCCTTCTGTAAGGAACCCAATAAGGCCTTCTATATGGAGCCCAATAAGGCCTTATGTAAGGAACTCAATAAGGCCGCTTGTAAGGAACTCAATAAGGCCTTCTGTAAGGAACTAACTCAATAAGGCCTTTGGTAAGAAGCTGAATAAGGCCTTCTGTAAGGAGCTCAATGAGGCCTTCTGTAAGGAGCTCAATAAGGCCTTCTGCAAGGAGCTCAAAACGGCACCACATGGGTTTTCACCCCAGAGCGGTTCCAGGGTGATTCTGGAACCTGAAACGGTCAGCGTCAAGCTTCCAGAATCACCCCGGAACGTTTCCAGGTGATTCCGGAACGTGAAACAATGGATTTTGCCTCTGAAAGGAACACAATTTAGGATGTCCAGAACATTAGGGACGAGGGGTGTAATCTTTGAGATGCAGCAGCGGAACCACCCGTATTCATTATCCCTGAAGCACAAACTGGGGCCTAACGCCTAACCTAGGCTACGCCTTCGTTGTGCTATCACGGTTAGGGGGTCCCGTTTTCCTCTTGATCGAGTACCTGTTCAGAACGCAGCCCACAACAGGTCGGGGGGCCGACTTCGAGCGGAGAGGCATCAGACCACCCGGCGCAGTCGTAGTCACGGCGACCATTTTTGCCGACTCGCCCCACAGTAGAAACAACAACAACAAACATGTTACGACTGTTCGCGCCTCGCTGCTCGCGTGCCATTCAGCACGTATATGTACCCAGACGATCGCACCCCTTTGGGTGCCACGTGTAGTCTGCGCGGCCCCTGACCGTGGGAGCAGGAAGGAACAAGAGAAGGCGGAGAGCGAGGAAAGGAAGAGGAAACGAGAAAGGAGGGGGGCAACAGGAAGGGAGCATGAGGGCGGAGAGAACGAGAGGAGAGAGGAACAACACGCTTGGCAGGTGGACTCCGACGGCCGGATCGGGCGGGCGGGCCCCAGCGGGCTGGGGCTGGTAGGGCGAACGAACCCGAACGGGCGGGTCGGGTCGGGCAGGCGGGGCATGCAAGCGGGCGGGCGGGCCTCCGAGCATGTGAACGGGCACACCCTAAGAGTAAGTCGGGCCTGTGCCCCTACAGGGGGACGTTGGAGGAGAAAAAAAAAGACAAAAATACTCCACAATGGTCAAAAATTGTCCACTGACTATTTTGTTGACTAGTTTTGAAGATCTCCTGCAGAGGGACAGGCACAATTTGACCCTAAGGAGCAGGTCAGGCGGGCGAGCCCGGAAGTTCGGACCGGACAGAACACTGGAGCGGGCGGGCGGGCTCCCGAGCAGGCGAGCGGGCGGGCCCTGACGTGGCGGGTCGGACAGGCAAGCGCTCACGCGCGAGGCGGGCAGGCCCGAACGGGCGGGTCGGGCGGGCCAGGCATGGAAGCGAGCTTCGCAAAGTGCAGGAAACCTCTGGCGACAGTACGAGTCAGGAGCTGGTTGCAAGGAAGTCTCGTGCGAGAGCGCGACTGCTGGGCGTCGAGGGCGCAGCGCCTGAGTGCATTCTAAGGAAGTCCTAGGCGAGAGCGCGATTCGTGAGTAGTGTGAGGAAGTCTGGACGAGAGCTCGACTTTCTGAGTAAATCGTGAAGACATATCAATCGGGAGCCGCTGTTCTTGTAAACTGGAAGCCAGGGGCGCAGATTGAGTACCCACAACTTGCCTGCTTAAGAAAGGGTGCAAGCCCCCAGGGAGCACTTCAGTTCAAGAAATTGCAGTGGGTACTGGAGAAGGGGGAGAACAGCAATAGAAATTCTTTAAGAAGGGCGAGTTCAACAAGCATTCAGAGACAGTTCGCTCTCCGATGCTCGCGTGCCACTCAACATGTACACCCCGAATCATCGGTACCCGCCCTCTTCGTCTTCGAACGTGCCAGACCCTGACAGGCGGGCTGGCCCGAACGGCGGGGCGGGTCGGGCGGGCGGACCCCCCAAAGGGCGTGTCGGGAGGGCGGGGCATCAAAGCGGGCGGGCGGGCTGCCAAGCACGCGAAGAGGCCGGACCCTGACGCGCAGGTCGGGAGGGCGGACCCTCACAGGCGGGTCGGGCGAACCCTGACGGGCGGGTCGGGCGGGCGGACGCTACAAGGCGGGTCGGGCGGAACACTGAAGCGGGCGGGCCTCAAAGCAGGCGAACGGGCGGACACTAATACCAGTGGGTCGTGATAACATCCGCAGCAAGAGCGTGGTTCCTGAGTGTCGAGGGCGCGGCGTCTGAATAAATTGCGGGGGAATCCCACGCGAGAGCGCGATTCCTGTACAAATTGTGAGAAAATCTGGCGCGAGAGCGCGAGAGCGCGATTTGGAAATTGTGAGGAAGTATCAGGCGGGAGCCGTTGCTGTTGTTGTAAACTCGGGGGCCAGGGGCGCAGTTTGGCGACACCCCATTGTCCATTTAAGAAAACGGGTGCGAGCCCCAGGAGAAACACTTGAATACAAATATGAATGGTTACCGGGGGGAGATCAACAACATGAGTATCTTTGGAAAATCGAACTCAACACCAACAACAAGAACAACAAGAACAACAACAACAACAACAACAACAACAACAACAACAACAACAACAACAACAACAGCATCAACAGCAACATAAGCAACAACAACAGCAACAACAAAAACACAAACAATCATGTTAAGACTGTTCGCTCCTATCTGCTCACGTGCCAATCAGTGCGTATATCCCAAAACCTCAGCACCCGCCCTCGTCGTCTTCGATCGTACCCCCTGGGGGGGTATCTTCCTTACCTGCCACGTGCACGTAGAACGGCCGCTAAAACAAGCAAAGGGAGGACGGGTGGAAGGGGGAGGAAGAAGAATGGACCACAAGAGAAATTAGCAGGAGGGGGTCAAGGAGCAGAAAACACGTGGTACAACCAGACGGGGAGATCGGATGGGCAGGCCCATCGCAGGCAGGTCGGGAAGGCGGGCCCAGGCGACCAGGTCGAGCAGGCGGGTTGCTGAAGCGCGGGTCCTGCATGAATCGCCAGGAAGTCTCGAGCGACAGCGTGGTTCCCAAGTAAATCGCGAGAAAGCCCAAAGCGAGAGCGTGATTCCTGAGCGCCGAGGGCGCATCGCTTAAATACGTTGCAAGGAAGTCCCCTGCGAGAGCGCGATTCGCACATGGAGAAAGTCCCGCGCGAGAGCGCGATTCTTCAATTTATTGCGAGGAAGTATCAGGCTGGAGCGGCTGTTCTGTTGCTGCAAACCGGGACCAGGGGTGCAGTTTGAGGAGGAAGACTTTCCCTGGTAGCAAACAGGGTGCGAGCCCCAGGCAGGGGTACTTCAATTGAAAAAACACATATGTCGCCGGAGGGGGGGATCAACAGTAGTTATTCTTCAGAAATGAGAATTCAACAACAACGACGACAACAACAGCAACAACATCAACAGCTGTAACAGCAGCAGCAGCAAAGACAACAACAACAACAACAACAACAACAACAACAGCAACAACAACATCAACAACAACAACAACAATGACATCAACAGCAACAACAACAGGTACATAGATGTGCATGTGCATGCACAAGCGTACAAACCGACGTATCGAGGTGCCGCGCGTGTTTATAATTTACGCAGAAGTGGGTGATCGACACAGACTCTTTAGAATGCCAGGCCTGGCTGGAAGGTCCTCACGCCTGTACGATGCCTTCCCTGCCGGCCACGGAGGGAAATCTGGCTGCACGCTGGCAGCCTGCCACCGTCCACGTCCACGGCGCCCTGCTCCCCAGGGCTTTACGCTCAGAAGCCGTCAGAAGGAGACGAGCGCGAGAATCAAGAAAGTATCTGCCGCCTGAACAAGTGCGAAGCCCCGATGGGAGCGCTGCTGCGACCCGACTCACGAGGAGCCCCAGGGGAAAAGCCTGGAACGGCGCGAAGAGGACCGAGCCTCTTCCAAAACTGTCCCCAGACATTTGCTGTGCAGCCCATGCGTGGGACTGAGACATCTCTTGGCTTCTGCCTCGGCTCCGCTACAAGCGCTGTGCTCTTGCCCTCGCCCGCGCAGCCCGAGAGGCGCTCAAAGAGGCCCACAAGAGCCCTCCCAAAAGGCCCCAACGGACCTCCAAGAGGCCTCTGGTCCACGTGCTGGGCGCGAAATTGGGATGGGCCGGAGGCCACTAGATACGTACTCGTGTCATCGTCCGCGCCTGTCTTGATCGCTGCCGCTGTCGGGCGAGGTGGAAGAGCTGCTGCCGCTGCTGATGCTGCTGGTGGGGTCGTCGCGTCGGTCGCTGGGGCCACCACGCTGCGCTGCGGTGGAAGGCTCAGACCCGCCAGCATCTGGCAGCACCACCTGCTGCCAGTCAGCATACTGGGCGCCCCAATCCCAGAGCTTCCCACGGGTCGATTCGGACAAGGCAAACCGAAACACAGCGACGATGACAAGCGTTGCAAAAGTAGAGCCGCAGCCAACGATGAACACGTCAAGCCACACGCGCGCGCCGACGTGCGCTCCCTCGGGCGGCAAGCGCATGGCGCCGTAGGTTCCGTCAGAGCCGGCGACGAGATGCCAAAGCGAATGCCGAAAGACCCACTGGCTTGTGGAGGTGGAGATGCCCGAGTAGCAGAAAGCGGACACAGAAATGCACACTAGCATCCACGTTTCTAAGAACGACGCCCGGAGGGCGAAATCCAGAATGCAAAGGCAGAAAGTCAAGGTCGCGAGCCGAATGTCGAATTTTCCATAAAAGGAACGATGGCCGCGACGGATGTAGACATAGTCTGCAAGGAAGCATGTCAAACAGCATGAAGTAAACAGGAAGGCAAGGATTGCGTACAACAATAGCTGCAACCGAGTGCTAGTGCTATAGGGATTGGGCGCGCAGCGCGCGATGCAACGCAAGACCGCGACAAACGCGATAGCGGGCATCAAGAGAAGTAGGGCGCTCAAACCAACCATCACATGCGGAGTCCAATGAAGCGAAGCGGTGATGCGCAAACCCATCAGCTCTGGCAGGCTCCTGGGCGCCATGCCAAAAAATAGGTGCGTCCATCTGCGCGCAGCAACAGCGCGTCAAACCAGCGGATCCGAGCAGGTCGCTGTAGTGTGAGCTTCCGAAACGGTCTGAACCTGAGCAGCTTTGACCCGAAGAGGCTACGGACGACAGGGATGCGACCCACTGAAGCAGGAGCGTTGAAGAAGCATCCATGAGCGGACGTGGTGGAGCCGAGGAGCTCCCATCTTCAGGGACCAGCTCCTCGGGCCCTCCTGCGCCGCGGGCACGCATACCTCACACAGCGGCGCGAGGCGGCCCCGCTCATGACACACCTCTCAAGTCGCACACGCCCCGGCTGGCTTGGGGGGGGGGGGGGCAGATGGCGTGGCGCCCCTCCTTTTACGCATGCTGCTTCCCCCAGCAGGGCGTGGAGTGGGGGGAGGACGAGGGGGGGGGGGGGGGGGCGAGCCCCGTGTTCTGGGAGGCCTGGAAAGTGGCACCAACACCAACACAGGGGGTTGCCTCCACAGGGGGACGATGATCCTATAGATCTCGGTGTTGGTGGTACTATTTCGGCCACCTCGGCAGCCAGAATATCACCACCATCGCCGAGACCGGCATCTGCTTCCCTCGGTGGAGGCACGCCGCAAGTGCTGGTGTCGGTGTCCACCTCGAGGCCTGCGAGACATGTTCGGAGGCAGCTCCTGGGAGGCCCTCGGCAGCACCAGTGTCGTGGAATGCCATGACCATGGACACTCGAACAATCCTACCATTGAATTAGACATGTGTTTAAACTGTGTAAAACATGTTCTAACCTGTTTCAAACATGGTTTGACGTACTTAAAACATGTTTGAAACATGTGTTAGACATCTGGTAGCTATTTGGCAGCGTGCTTCCTCTCCATTAATCGGCTTCCACAACACTACTGAAGGGGCGAAAGAGGGCCCGATCTTCAGGGGCCACCGAGCCGTCTCAGAGGCCAGACGAAGCCCTCGGGAGTGGGCTACCTACCAGACCACCCCAACCCAACCCGAAGACCCGAATTTCGGGTTTGGGGGTTTATGGGCTCCGTATGTGTTTTTGTCGATGTCCCTGGACCCCCCCATACCAGAAATGGAGAGCAAATTGTGAAGCCTTCGGGTTGGGTTGGGGTGGTTTGGTGGGTGGTGAGGAACGGGCCAGATCCGACGGGATTCAGCCGGGTGGCGCGGGATTGGGCCGGACGGAGCGAGGTTCAGCCAGAGTAGGCCAGGTTCCGACCAGGGTTAGGTTGGGCCTGTCCCCTACAGGGGGATTTTGGACGAAAAATATAAAATACCTACACACTACCCCAAAATTGTCAGAAAGTGCTCAAAACATAGTCCCCACATTATTTGATTGACTATTTTTGAATCTCCCCCCTGTAGAGGGACAGGCCCGACTTAAGACCAGGGATAGGCCAGCGCCGATACGAAAAGAAGCCGCCCAGGACCTGCAGCCTGGCCAGCGGGGCCCAGCCAGCGGGGCCCAGGGAGAGGCGGCGCGGCGGGCGCCGTGGGGGCCCCACGGCAAGGGGGGAGGGGGGGGGCAGCCCGTGAGGAGGGGGGGGTGCAAGGGGTCCTGGGCAGTGGGGCCTGGGGGCTCGCCGGAGGTACAGCCGCAGCGATGGGTCTGGAATGGGAGAGAGAGAGAGAGAGAGAGAGAGAGAAAAAAAAAAAAAAAAAAAAGAGAGCAGGCACCAAACAAACAGAAGCAATCCGCCGGCCCCCTTATGGGGCCGCCTCAGGCTGCAGGGCGCAGGTGTGCTGCTCCCTGCACCAGTTGCAGTTTCCAGTTTCCAATGCGATGGCTCTACTTTCTGCTTCCTAGTGTAAATTGTTACTGAACGCGCGAGGGGGGGAGCCGAAAAGTCGCACTTTACTGGACGACGGACGACGGACGACGACGACGGACGACGGACGACGGACGAGTGACGACGGACGACGGACGACAGACGACATAAGAAGACGACAGCCGGCTGCCAATCCCGCCCCCGAGCGCGTCCCGACCAGAACTGCTAAGCGAGCCCTGCGGTGGCGGCAAGGGTGCCACATGCACAAAACTGCACCCAATAACACCCGAATAGCCTCGAGCATCATCCCCGCTCGAGCACACGCTGCCATGGATTCGGGATCCGTGGAACTGGCGCTTGGAAGCCAGATTCACTGACCGGGGGAACTATCCCCAAAGCATGAGGCCAGCGCCGCCGACTTGGGCACGAAGCGCCAATTCTGCACGGAGTCGGAACCCGTCGCTACTCCACTATGTCTCCTGTTCCTCGATCCTCCTCCTGCCTCACGTCGTCCTCCCCCCCCCTTGGGCGGGGGACCTGTCCCGCCGCCGCAATAGCAGCAGGCCTCCGTGGCGGTGTGCCTGATGGAGGGACAGGAAGATCTAGGACGGGGCTAGGGCGCGGATAAATCCGTTCCAGAGCGTTCCTGAACGCTCTCAGAATGCTCTGGAACGCTCTGAGAAGGCCGCGGCGCCCGAGACATCCTCCAGAGCCGCCAGATTTGGAGGCCTGGAAATGAGCGCCAACACCGACACAAGGTGTTGGCCTCAACAGGAGGAAGATGATCCTAGATTTCGGCGTTGGTGGTAATATTTCGGTCACCTCGGCAGCCAGAATATTACCACCATGACCGAGATCGGGATCTTCTTCCCTCGGTGGATGCACACCGCCAATATTGGTGTTGGTGTCAACCTCTAGGCATGCGACAGATCTCAGAGATTCTCGATTTATCCTCACCCGACTTTATCCTCACCCTGGCTTCGTTTTAAGACCCCCCAATCCCCGCCGCTACCTGGAGCCTCTTCTGGGCGCGCGCTCTGACCAGGGCAAGGCGAGACAGGTCCAGCCCCCCGTGGCGACGAGGGCCCCCCCCGAGGCCCAAGGGAGGCGCAGACGAGGGAAGGGCATCGGCATTGGGTTGCAGTGCAGGTCTCTCTCCTCCCAGATACAATCAAAGCGTATGTTAAGGACGGGCGGTAAGGACGCAAGGCCCTTGGGGGCCGAAGTTGGGATTTGTTGGGCGGCGGGCGACCAGTGAAAGCGGCAGAGGACGGGCCGCAGAGGCAAGGACTCAAGGGCACCCTAGATGAAGGTGCGCGTCCTAACTAGGCGCGTTGACTGCACTAATACACCTCTCATCGGGTGCGCTCTGACCAGCATCCCGCTTGGCGGCGAGGCACCCCTCCCAGGATCGGGGTAGAGCAAAGCGAGTCGCCGCCACCACAACCACCATCGCGAGGAGCCAGGGAGGATCCCCCTGGTGACGTCTCTGCGGCGCCCCGGTCGAGACATCTCCGAGACACAGCTCCCTTAGAGGCACCCGGCGAACCCTCCTCGATGGAGGCGGCCCGCTGGAGGTAGTGCCCCGTGTCCTCCCTCCGTGAAAAGGGGGGCAGCACACAGAGGCTTCCTAGATAGTGTCGGAGTAGATGGGGTCGGAAGATCGCGCCGCATCGCCGATACATCGGCGATGCATCGGCGAAGCATCGGCGATGCACCTGCGATGCACCGGCGATGCACCGGCGACGCATCATCGCCGTCGGGGATGCATCGGCGACGTTGACGTGAAGCAAACCGGGTTGCACATCGAGCCGCATCAGCGATGCATCGGCGGTGCGGCGCGATCCTCTCACCCCGTCTGCTCCGACCCCATCCAGGAGGCCCAGAGCACAGGGGGAGGGGAGCGCAGGGGGGGAAGAGCGACCCCGCCGCACGGACAACAAACAGAAGCGGGCCTCACGCAGGGTGGCGCAGCGACCCTGCGCGGCGGGGCTGGCCCGGGCCGCCCACCGCGCGGCACGCCGAGCCAGCAGCGAGGGCGCCCACCTGTGCGCGGACCTTGCGCGAGCAGCTCACGCGCCAGTGTCGGCGGAGACGACCCCGCCTTGTCGTGCGTCGCTCACAGATGCGGCTGGCTTCTCAGGCGCCTCCCTGCGCCGAGAGGCGGCGGGGCCTCGGGGAGAGGGCCCGGCGGCAGCGCCGAAGCCAGCTGCAGGCAGCAGCTTTCGTGCACGACCTCCCCTAAACCTTTCCCCCCCGCCTGTCCCTTCGTCCATCGGCACGGTGGGGACGAAGGAGAAGAAGAATTACAAACAAAGAAGGCCGAATTTGCACCCGATGCCGCCGCTTCGCGGACCTCTCCCAAGGCGCGCTGTGACCAAGATCCCGCTGAGAATCCGGCCGGGGCGACGAGGGGCGGGGAGCGGTGTCGTCGGGCACAGCTCCTCCTCTGAGAGCTCCGGGTCGAGGGCTGCCAGGGAGGCGGCCCTGGCCCGCGGTGCCCCCACAGCTGCAGGCGCCACCGCAAAAGAGCCCCCCCTGCGGGGCCTCCCCGGGCCTCGTGGAGGGAGGGGGGGGCGGGGCTGGCTGGAGGCGGCCTGGGCCTACCGAGAACTCAGGGGGGGGGCACGCACCTCGGGCGCGCGCTGGCATGGATGGCCCATCGGTCGGAAGAAGTAAGTTGGACACTCGAAGCGGGAGGGCGTTGCTATAGCAGGTTGGGCTCCGTCCGCCCCCCCTTGGGAGGACGGAACAGATGCAGCCGCTCGATCCCTGAAGCCCTGAAGCAGGAAGGCGCTCATATAAAAGTGTGTAGAGCTGGGACCTGGGAGAGCAAGAGTACCTCCTTTCCACGACCGACGGGCACGGACACGTGGATCTGGCACGGGGGCGCCTTGCCCACGGATCGGGGAAGAGGTGGCCCCCGAACGATGAGGCCAGTGCCGCCTGCTCATCTGCCGGCGGAGCGCACCGATGGTGCACGGAAGCGGGACCGTCGCTGACCCGTGCACCCTGATCCGTGCTCGCACTTCCTCGATCGCGTGCCACGGACACCCACGGCAGCACCAGACCTGAGGCATCGAGAGAGTGCCCCCCCACCCCGGAGGGGGAACGGTGGGGGGGACCGGCTCAGAGAGGAAAGCGTCGCGATCGATCGGCGATATTCATCGCCGATAGATCGGCGGTACATCGCCGATAGAGATCGGCGATGGCCCCCAATAGCGAATCTGCACGTTCCCGGGCGGGGTGGGCTATCAGGCCCCTATCGGCGATGAACAGGCAATCGGGGGTCGATGCATCCCTCCCTGAGCCTTCCTCCCCCCAGATGTTGCCCCTGACGTCCTGGGGCATCGAGAATGCCTTCCCCCGCAGCCCGAGCACCCGAAGCTGACCACGGAGGCGATGTCCTTCTGGCAGAAGTACGCGAGGTAGCTGGCGCGGGGCGGGGCTCGCGCGCGGAGCCGCACTCTGCTGCCTCCGTCGGACAGCGCCGCGCCAGCCGCCAGGTTTAAGTCGGGCGTGTCCCCCTACAGGGGAATGTTGGGCGGAAAAAAAATACCCCAAACATACCCCAAAATGGCAAAAAATAATCAAAGAATAGTCCCCAGACTATTTTCCCAACTATTCTGTGGTGTTGGGTCCTCGTTTTGAAGAGACGGTCCCCGCGTGCCTCCTCTCCTCCTCCTCCCCCTCCTCCCCCTCCTCCCCTCCCTCCTGCTTCTTCCATGCGTTTCACCCACCCAGCACAGCGCTTCGCGGCCCCATAGGGAGCTCCACCGAAGGTCCCAATGGCACCGCCCGCATGCGTCCGCCACCAGAAAGGGACCCCAGGGGCCGAAATCGAGGAAGAGCGCCCGGGCTGAAGAGATCGTGTCGCCCGTGACACTGGTCTCAGCAGCAGCTCCACGAGAGCACTGCTCGCGCTCCGGCCAGTGCTGCTGCCCCTGCGGTCCCGCTCCCGTCGGGGGCCCCGCGCGCTCCTGCCCCCGGCCCCTGGACACCGTTGCTTTACGATATCCGGTGGCGGTCATTACCCGGGGGGGCCGTGAGCGGCGAACAGGCGGTCAGGAACGTTTGCATAGCGTGTCGCCGCGGCGGCCCTGGTGACGCGCTATTCCCTGCGAGCGGACATAGCGTGCCGCTCCGCTCCGCAGGGCGAGAGGCTGGGAAAAGCTCGGGACTCAGTCGCTTGGAAATGGGGGAGTGGCGTGCTAAGCCAAAGCTCCTGACCATATCCGTATCCGCGCCCTCGCTCGCGGTCTGGATTCTGGGGCGCGATCCCGCGGATACGAGGTCGCACGAATACGTTCGGCGCGGGGCATCAGCGAAAAATGCCATGGCCCAGGGGCACGGCCTGGGACGTGGCGGATACAGATATGCTTTTCACTAGGAGGGGGGAGGGCCGGTTAACGGGTTAGCGGGAACGCGTGGGCGGGGTGGGGCACGTCTGGGCGGGGGCCAGGGTGCGCGCGAGCACCAGCATGTGGGGGGGGGGGGGTCCACGCCCCACCACCTACTCACGATCGTTACTGTTCCCCAGGGGTGGGGGGGAAAGGGAGGAGAGGTGGGGGAAGGGGGAGAGGCTGGTACAACAATGCCCCAGATCCTTAACATCAAGGCGCGTGCGCCTGCGCGCCAGAGAAAGCAAAGACGCAAACCGCTCCACGGCGAGGAGATCCCAGTAGCCACAGGCAGAGGATTCCATCACACAGCCTCGACCTGGGCAACGACCGCTACGCGCCCGAAGCGACAGACAAATGCTGCCCTGGCCCTACCCATAGAGCAAGGGGCAGGCGCGGGGGCAGCAGCGCGAGGCCTCCGCGGGGCCTCCGGGGCGCCTCTCCCGAGGAGGCGCCGGCCCCGACCTCGAACGTGGCGGCGCGCCGACGGGGGGGCAGCGGAGGGAGGCAGCAGGCCTTCTCAGAGGCGGCAGGGCTTCTCGGACGCCCTCCGCGTCTTCGGAGCAGGCTCGGGTCGGGCATGCCCCCCTTCGGGCCGACTGCGGACGCAGAGTCAAAAATAGCCAAAGCGTGTTCCGAAATGATCCAGAAGAGGGGCACGCCCGATTTAAGTGGAGGCTCAGAGGGCCGGAGGCCTTCCGAGCCTCCCGAGAAGGCCCGCCCCCCCCTGCCTTCCCCCCTGAGCACGCCGCCGCTTCGTCGTCAGAGCCTGCGACAAGTGCACGGATACCAGGCGAGAGGTCGCTCTCGCGAGGCGGCTCTCGCCTTCAGCGCCTTCAGCGCAGTCGCCCGAGGAGGGCGGCTGCCACGGCTGCACCGTTGGATTGTGCGGATCCGTCCTCAAGACGGGGCCGTCGCGCGCGCGAGACCTCTGTGAGAGCTGGACGGCGGGTGCGGCAAACGTGTGCCGCGGTTTCACGGGTGGCGAGCGGCCGTTCCTAAAACGGGGCTCCCGCTGGAGACTCCCTCAAAAAGCACACGACCAGGAGAGGTGCAAAAGCTTGGTGAACGGTGGGCGGCGACCACTCGCAACGGGGCTAGCGTTTTTACAACGCAGCCATCGCCTGAAGGGCAGGCCAGGCCCATGGGGCCCCCGTCCTTCAAGGGGGAACTCACCGTGATGAAAAAATGCATAGAGGAACTTTGAGAAGGGGCTTCGAACGGGAGGGGGTGTGCTGCAACGTCGGGTTTACCCTGGTCCTCCATCCTCCTCTTGCGATCCTCCCTTGTCATCCACGGCTCCAACCTCCAACACCCCTCCTCTGCCATCCGACCCCCCTTCACCCCCTTCCTCCACCTCCGCCCTCTTCCCTCCAGACCGCCTCTTCCGCACTTCGCCCCCCCAGACCTCCGACGACTTGATTTGTTCGAGTCGCCAGCCCCTGGAGCTCTCGACCCGTTCCTCGGAGTCAATTGTTCTTTCTCCTGTCGGGGATCTTCTGACCCGGGTCAATGCGACCCTGGCCCTGCAGGATCCTGCAAGATCTGGTGATCTGGCTGACCCTCGTTTGCACTGATCCCCGTCTCAAGGCTCCCGATCCTGTGCCATTCTTTTGACAGCACCAGGGCCATGAAACAGCCTCCTGAATCTAAAAGTTGGGAAGACCTCTGGCAAGACTCTGTCGAATCGCAGGACGTCTCGGCTCCCCTCCTTCAACCCCCGGACCTCCCCTGGGACGTTCCAGCCAGAATTTCGAGTCGGATCCAGCCCCGCAGCAACGAAGGCGGCCCAGCACGGCCAAAGGGCCAAAAACGTCCAAATGGTAAGGAAGTGTCAAGCAATACGCCAGACCCGCCCTTCCGACTGGCCTTGGAGTGCGACAGCGAGGACTTATTCATACGGAAAAAGAATGGAGGAGGAGGAGAAGGAGGAGGAGGAGGAGAAGGAGGAGGAGGAGGAAGAGGGGAGGAGGAGGAGGAGGAGGAGGAGCGACTCTTGGGGCAATTCTTTGGGTTGGGAGGGGGGGGGCGCGCGTCGCGCCAGGCGGAGGAGGCGGAGGGAGGAGGAGGACGAGGAGGAGGAGGAGGAGGACGAGGAGGGGGAGGAGGAGGACGAGAAGAAGCAGAAGGGGCCAGGAGGGGCAGGAAAAGGGAGGGAGGGAAGGAGGGAGGGAAGGAGGGAGGGAAGGAGGGAGGGAAGGAGGGAGGGATGAGGAGGAGGCGGAGTAGGAGGGAGGTGTATGGACGCGACGGCTCTCGCAGGTCTTCGCCGGTACACCTATCGGAGGGAGGAGGAGGAGGAGGAGGAGGAGGAGGAGGAGGAGGAGGAGGAGCGAGCGCACGAGGGGACGCGCCGAGTCGAGATTCGGGACAGAGAGCAGACGATTGGGAAAAGGTGAGGACGCACAATCTCTCACAGAAAGAGTGGGGAACACGTAGGGGCAGGCCCAAACGAATTCCCATGCACACGCCCGACGACGGGCCTGCGCCGCAGAGAGAGGCCAGGATGCTGACCTGGGCACGGGGCCGATCAAATCACCAGACCCCGCGGAAACAACAAGAACAAAACGAGTTGAACCGAATTCATGAGGCTAGCCCAAGCCACTCCACTGCGGGGCCCGAGACCAACATGCGCCGCGGGAGGGGGATGGGGTGTTTGCGGCCCTCGCTGGGGTGCCGCCCCTCCGCAAAGTTATTCCGCCTCCACTTCCTCTGAGGGTTGCCCTCAAAGGCCTTGGGGCCCTCACATTCATTATAAAGCTGGGATCGGTGGGCACGCTCCGAAAAGGACCCGCAGCGCATGCATCCAACCACGTCGCCAGCACGGTAGAGCACATGGCCTCGGGAGGCCTGTGGGGGGACCGTCCCCTCCGCAGGGAGCACCGTGCTGGGAGGAGCGGCGTTGGCCCTCGTAGTGGCCGCCGCGAGCCTGGGGCGCTTCTCCGAGCCTATCGGGGTTTCGAGGGCGACCGTGGCTTCCCTAACACGCGTCTGGACAAGCGGTTCAAACTGCACTCTCGGCTTGACCCTACGGGGTGGTCGGATGAACGCCTCAGCCTCCTCGACCTCAGGCCTCCTAGACTTACCCACAATCCTAACCCGAGGGCTCGGGTGGGTAGGAGGAGGAGGAGGAGGAGGAGGGTCGGAGGACGAAGTAGGGGAGGAGGGAGGATCTCCGCGCTGCGCCTTCCTCCCAGGGCCGTCCTCGTCCTGATCGCCTCCACGGCCGTCTTGGCTGCCCAAAGGCCTCTTAGGGGCCTGACGGGGGCCGAGGGGGGGGGCCCGCGGGAACTCCTCGGGGCTGGACTGGGGCTCGGGGGCCTGAGGTTCCGAGGGGCGGTGCACTGTACACACCTCGAGGGCCAGGCGCTTACGTCCAGTTGGCGTCCGCACGAAGCGCTGACAATGTTTACATCTCCATCCTCCAGCCAGCGTGGGCCTGATGTCATGCAGGCGCTGGCTAGTAGTCAGAACTGGCCGCTGTTGTCCAGGCCGACGGCGTCGCTGAAGTCGTCTGCGTGGCTTGCGCACAGGCGGTGGCTGACGGTCCTGGTTCCCAACCAACGTCATCGAGGACCCAATCCAGCAAGCCACCTGCCTGACAGTGTTGATCATGATCGAGTGGAGCTGAATGGCTTCCGACGGCAACGCGTGCATAGCCAGCCCCCTCTTTGCCGCCACATCTGCATAGTCATTGCCCTTCTTGTCAACGGTAGCATCTCCTTGAGTCTGGTGTGATCGCACGTATGAGATCTCCAGCTGCGAGGACAAACCTCCGTGATCTTGGATGACCTGCCATAGTATCCTCCACAAATCGCAGTTCGGCCTGCGTGGGTGCGTGCACCACTCAGGCCCACATGCGAGGCCTTCCACGGTGCCCAGGCAGTCCGTACGTATGTGTATCGGCAGCATCCCATGGCGTAGCACTTGTAAGACAGCGTATAGTTCAGCACGAGGCACTGATTGCTGTTGTCCTGGGAGAGGTCCATACGCAATCCCACGAAGAGCCTGACCTGTCATCATCGCGATTCC